GCCTCAGAACGCATGGCACAGACAAGCAGGAGATCCCCCGCGAAGCTTGACGTGGACCAAGACGGAGAAGGCGGTACAGCGGGACCGACGTACACGATCGAGGTCGGTTCGGGGAGGGTACCCTGGTGTTCTTCGCGTGCGTTAAATGTTTTGGTACGCCCTGAGGAGGTGACCCTCGGATGTTCAGTGTGTTTTGGCCGGCGGATGGGCTCATCTTCTCGAGGGATGTTATGCTGGCTCGGGTCCGACTGTAAGAGGTCCATGCGGCTCGACGTGGGCCACGACGAAGAAGGCGGCAATAATGGCGAGGCGCAGGAAACTACCCTGAGCGGAAGAGCTGCATGGAGAGAAAGGCGGAGGAGCAGCAGCAGAAGCAGGCGTCGCGTAAAATCCAAAGGAGCGGCGGGAGCGGTAGGAGCGGGAGTGCCGGGCACGGCGGAGGAGGGGAGGGGAGGACCAGAGAAGGAGGGGGAGGGTGAGGGGAGGGACGCGATGGGGGAGGATGGGAGAAATGGGAGGAGGGATAGAGGGAGAAGACAGGAGGGAAGAAATGGAAGACAGAGGGACTGGGGCGGAGGGGGGGGGAGGGGGGGGGGGAGTGGGGGCGAGAGGGGAGGATTGGGGGGGGAGAGAGCAGAGGGAAGAGAGGACCGTAGGAAAGGAGGGACATGGGGACGGGGAGGAGGGGAGGAGGCGGGGGAGGGGATGGAGGGGAGAGGGGAATATGGGGAGGGGTGTGTGAAGTGAGGACGGGCGGGGGAGGGGTCCACCCAAATAGTTGCCTGCACTCAACCGAGAGGCCCCCCCTCTGACGCTCGGCACCCAAGTGAAGCCATCTGAAATCAGGAGGGAAAGAAACACACACAGACACAATTAATCCTCGATTGCCCAGAAAATATGGGAAAATATGGGAAGGTGGGGGAAGACATAAACCCCGGAAATATGGGAACATATGGGGAATATTTTTATTTGTGTGTGTTTATTTGTGTGTCCTGGGGCCCCTTCATGAAAGACAGAAGTATTAACACCTTTGAGACTCGCTCTGTTGAGCCATCTTGCAGCTTATCCGGGGTACCCTGGTGCGTAGGGTTTCACACCGGGGGGAGCCTTGAAGCCATATTTCGGACCTGTTGGGGCGCGAGACATCGAACAGCTTCAGACTGATGTGTGCATGGACGGCCGCGAACCGGTCGGTTCGGTTGCGTCGGTGTCGGTTAGAATCGATCGGTTCGGTCGGTTCGGTTGTTGCGGAGTCCCTGCGTCGTCGCGCCCTCTTCGGTTACTTCGGTTGATTCGGTTTCGCCGCGGGCGCCTCGCTGGCGCCTCGTGCCGGCCCAGGGGATCGAATCGGCCGCCAGTTTCCAGTTCGGTTTCGCTGCCCACGGATTCGCGCCGATCTGATTCCGCTTGGCCTTTCCCTTTGAAGAAAAAGGGAGGAGGAAGAGGAGGAGGAGGTGGAGGAGCAGGAGGAGGAGAGGAGCAGGAGGAGGAGGAGCAGGAGCAGGAGCAAGGAGGTTGGTTGGCTGATTGGCCGGATGCGCGCAGTGGCGCATCGTTGGCCGGATAAATCTTGCCCCGTGGCCAGGCTTCGAAAACGCTTCTTCCACGGGAATTCCGGAGGCTCCCTGGAGGCGCCGAAGGCCCCGCGGGGAGAGAAAACATTTTTTCTGGCCTCGAAAAATGGTTTTTCGGCTCGTGGGAGTTCCCGAGGCTCCATGGAGGCGCCGAAGGCTCCGGGGAGAGAAAAACAATTTTTGAGCCCCCGAAAAATGTTTTTCGGCTTCCGGGGCCTCTGGAGGCTCCCTGGAGGCGCCGAAGGCCCCGGGGGAGAGGAAAACAATTTTTTGGGTCTCGAAAAATGCTTTTATGGCTTTCCGGAGCTCCAGAGGCTCCCTGGAGGCGCCGAAGGCCCTGGGGAGAGAAAAACAATTTTTCAGGCCTCGAAAAATGCTTTCGGGGGCTCTGGAGGCTCCACTGGAGGTGCCGAAGGCCCCGGGGAGAGAAAAACAATTGTTCAAGCCTCGAAAAATGTTGTTTCGGTTCCGGGGGGCTCCGGAGGCTGAAATTTGCGGCGGGGGCGCATGCTGGCTGCGCCGCCGGGGCCTTGGGCGGAGCATCTATGGGGCCACGAAACTTGCGAGGGGTTCGCCGAAGTTCCTTGCGGGAGCGCGCGCGGGCTGCGCCGCTGGGAATTTTAGCGGAGCTCTGATGGGGCCATGAAGCGCGTGAGGGGTGCGTCGCGGGGAGCGAGAGCGCATGCTGGCTGCGCCACTGTGACCCTGCAGTTCGGTTTTCGCGTTCGGTCGGTTTCGGTCGGCTGATTCGGTTCTGCAGGCCCCCTTTCGGTTTCGATCGGTTTCGGTTTCGTCATCGGTTCGGTCGGCTCTCGGTTTCTCGGCAACTCGTGGCCCCCCATGGTGTGATTGTTTGCCTTCTCAGAGCGTCTCGGGGTCCTCGTCGCATGTTCTTGGGGCCTCCTCTGGCCGTCTCGAAGCCATCGTGGGACATCGCTGAGCCCGCGAGCTTTGATGCTGCACTTCTGGAGGCCTCTGAGGCTGTCGTCTTGGCCGCCCAGCCGAGCTCCCGTGGGAGTTTTGGGCCAAAGCAGCGCGGCCAGGTGGCTGCGTGCTCCACCGCCCCCCCACACCTCCTCCTCCACCTCCTCCTCCTCCTCCTCCTCCTCCTCCTCCTCCTCCTCCTCCTCCTCCTCCTCGTCCTCCCCCTCCCCCTCCTCCTCCTCCTCCTCCTCCTCCTCCTCCTCCTCCTCCTCCTCCTCCTCCTCCTCACCCTTCCCCTCCCTCTGCTGCTGCCCTTCGATCTCTCAGTGGCAGCCTCGCCGCTCTGCCGCGGCCGCCCGGTCGTCGCCGTCGCCGAGAGTACCATCAGGATTGCCCCTGGAGCAGGAGGAGGAGGAGGGGGAGGAGGAGGAGGAGGAGGAGGAGGAGGAGGAGGAGGAAGGAGGAGGAGGAGGTGGGAGGAGGAGGAGGAGGACTGGAGCACCATCAGGAGGAAAAGAAGCACACAGACACAATGAATCCTCGATTTCCCAGAGAATATGGGGAAATATAGGGATTGGGGGGGAAGACAAAAAACAGAAAAAGATAGGAAAATGTGGGGAATCTGTTTATTTGTGTGTATTTATTTGTGTGTCCCAGGGCCCCTTCAGTACCATCAGGATTGCTCCAACGCCACCTTGCGGGCGTTTTTTGTCGGCGCCGCCGCCCGTAGAAGGACTGAGGCAGGGCCGGGGAGACAGGAGGCAGGAAGCACAAGGCAAGACGAGATAGTGATCGTTTTCTATTCCTTGTTTTGCCGATCGGCGCGGGCCCTCGCCCCCCCTCCCCTCCCCCCCCTGGAGTAGATCTTGGTTGTTTTTTGGCGCCTCTTTCGAGCGGGTGGAGTTTCCCTCGCAGGACGCACCGCTGCAAACAGACGCCATTAAGCAGAGGTCCAGAGCCAGGACCCCCTCCCCCCTCCCCCCCCCTTCCGCCCAATGGCGAAGCGCCGCATAAAAAAAAAACGTTCACATACCGACACGTGATAAGAGAGACCAGTAGTGCAGTGCAGCAGGCCGGCAGGGCGTCGTTCCATGGCCGGGCCCCCCCCCCCCCCGTCCCCACAGACTGGGAAACGCGGCGGCGTGCCCCCCCCCCCCCAGTCCGCCTCAGACTCTTGCACTTCAGCCGCTGCGTGTCACGTGCGCGGAGGTGGGGCGTGCTAATCTCAAGTCGGGCCTGTGCCTCTACAGGAGGAGTATATTAACAAATAATACTATAACAGTCCGGGGGCGATTTGTTTGACTAGTTTTCGGCATTTTGAAATATGTTTAAATTGTTCTTATTGTTTCGTCCAACATCCGCCTGTAGGGGGACATGCCCGACCTAACGCTAGGCAGCAGGAGGAACACATGCTGAAGGAGAGCCACCGCAGGAGGGAGGACGACGACGACGAGGCGGACAAGGAGGCGAGACAGGAATGGGGGAGGCGGGCAGGTCGCGGATCAGTGATGAGAGGGCGAGGAGGAGCAACAGCAGCAGAACAGGGAAGGGAAGTGAGAAGAGGAGGGAATGGCTTAAGCGGCGGCGGCAGCAGCAAGAGCCCATGCGCCCTCTCCTCCTTCCCCAGGGACGCCTGGATGCGAACTGGCAGCGAGCCCCTCTCTCCTACGTGCGTCCACTCGCCGCCTTTCCTCCCCGGACCTCCGCTTCCCTCCACAACCACAACATCTGAATCCTACTCTCCTCTCCCTCGGAGGCGCCGACTGGGCTGACTGGGCAGAACGCCCCTCTCCGCGTATTTTTTACACATCGGAGCCCGAGCTTGTGGTCGATCATAGATGTGTTGTGAAACGGGCCGAGCGTTTCGGTCCTACCAGAGAGGCGCTCTTGCTTCAGCGGTGGCTTCATTTTCCAGCTCTCGGCCCTTCCACATCAGACTCTCGCTTCAGCGTTCACTACATTCTATCCAACTGAAGCGTGGGCCTCATGTTCGGATCGGCGCCTTGCTCCTGTCGTTCAGATTGTCGGTCTCGCCCAAGCGTCGGCCACTTTTATTGATCCGAGTCTTTCTTTATTGTTGTCGCCCCCATCATTTTGCATCCTCCGCCTTCCCCTGGTCCTTCTGTTCCCCCCGATTATTCCACTCCAGTACCTGCAGCTGCTGTTCGTTCACGCTTTTTCATTCCGCTCATCCTCCTACTCACTCGCCACCTCCCACTCCTGTGCACGCAGCTCCCCCTTTTTTTTCCGACTGCGCATAACACGATACGATCTTTTAGATAGAATTGTGGTTCGGCTACGATACGCGTCCGCGGGTAGAGAAAGTACCAGAGCAATGGGAGAGGATGTGATGGAGGGGTAGGATGTCAGATGCGGCGCGAGCGCAACCGGCTTTCCCTCCCTCCCCCCCTCCTGCTTTCCCCTCCTCTCCCCCTTCCGCCCCGTCCTCCCCTTCTCCTCTTCCTCCTCCCCTCCTCCCTCCTCCTCCTCCTCCTCCTCCGTAGCCATTTTGGCTCACGAGCCTGCTCGCCCCTGCTCGCGAGGTGGCTGCGGTCATGGCCGATGCGACGGCGTCGGCGCTCCTCAGCGTGGTTGTTCGGGCTGGCGGCTCGCGCCAGGTGGTGGCGGCCACGGCGGTCGCCCTTTGGCGCGCGGCCCGTGCCGAGGCCGGCAACATGCAGGAGGAGGTGAAGGATGTGGACGCCGAGGTGCAGGCGCGCTTGGAGGCCATCCAGCCCGTCCTGCGCGCGAAGGTCGTGGCGGCGCACGACGAGTCCCCACCCGCCATCGACGGCGGGGTGAAGGCGCTGAGGAACGTGGCGGAGCACTGCCTGTTCGGGGAGGGCGCGGAGGCGCTGCCCAAGGACGGCAAGGAGGCCAAGCGACGGCAGCGGGGGCGGCGGCGCGGTGCTAAGGACGGCATTGATGGAGCCGCCTCGCACTCGGAGCTGGAGCTCACTGAGGGCATGAAGCTGATCGGGGTCGTACCGATGGCGGGCGAGGCCGCGGTTCCCGATACCAGCGACGAGAAGGTGGCCATGAAGGACTTCGACATCCAGGCGGAGGTCGAGGAGAAGAGCCCTGCTGCCCAGCCGCTGGCCGTCGACCAGGCCAGAAAGATGGTTCAGGCTGCCGCGCGCGCCGAGCTGAAGCTGGAGTCCCAGCTGGCGGCGGCTCAAGCTACGCACCTGGCCGTCTGTGAGATGGTCTTCGACGCGGGCTTCGAGGCGACGCAGATGTGGGACAATGGCGAGGCTGGCACCGTGGTGGAGTCCTCCGAGGAGCTCGGGACGTCGCACGTGAAGACGGCCGAGTTTTGAATGCCGCCCCGCGGCACGTCGGGCGTTGGGGCGCGGAGGCTCGTGTTCCTCCTGCGCCCCCGCGCCGCGGAGGCTCGTGTTCCTCCTGCGGCTCTCGCTGCCCTGGGCGCGGAGGCTCGTGTTCCTCCTGCGCCCAGCGGCAGCCTCGCGCCGCGGAGGCTCGTGTTCCTCCTGCGGCGCCTGGCCCTGGGGGCGCGGAGGCTCGTGTTCCTCCTGCGCCCCCAGGGGCTGCTGTATGAAGCACGTGCATTTAGGACAGCGTCCGCTATCAAAGAGTCAAAGAGTCCTCCTCCTCCTTCTCCTGCTCCTCCCTCTCCTCCTCCTCCTCCTCCTCCTCCTCCTCCTCCTCCTCCTCCTCCTCCTCCTCCTCCTCCTCCTCCTCCTCCTCCTCCTCCTCCTCCTCCTCCTCCTCCTCCTCCTCCTACTCGTCCTCCTCCTCCTCCTCGCCTCCTCCTCCTCCTCCTCCTCCTCCTCCTCATCCTCCTCCTCCTCCTCCTCCTCCTCCTCCTCCTCCTCCTTCTCCTCCTCCTCCTCCTCCTCCTCCTCCTCCTCCTCTGTCTCGTGGCTGTCCATAGTTACACAATATGAGTAGTACTCTTGTCTCCCCCTGATTCTTCCGGAGAGTGCCCCGTCCTGTCAGCTTATTGTGTTATGTCACACAGGATCTCATCAGTTGATTTTTGTTTCCGATATGTGTTTTCAAGCCAGTGGTTTCAGGTTTTTCCAAAATGGTGTTCCTGCTACAGCTCCGCCCTCATTTCCGCGCTTCGGTCATTCAAAATCGTCCCGCGGCAGCGCTGGCGTGGTCGGTCCTTCCAAGTAGCGCTGTCGCGGTAGCGCTGGCCTCGTTCCAGTGCTTCGGTCCTCACAGGCCTCATTCCCGTTTTCGGTCATGGCCTCGTTCCCGCGCCCTCGTCCTTCTAAATCGTTGCTCCCGCTGCAGCGCTGGTCTCATTTCCGTCGGTCCTGGCCTCCGTCGGTCCTATGCCACGTCCTGCAGTGCGATGCTGTGATGTGCACCGCTGTGCTATAGCATGCTTTGCGTTGCTTTGCTTTGTGATGCAATGCTTCACTACGCCATGCTATGACATGCCATGCTCTGCCGTGCTCTTCCACGCCATGCGTGTTCATCTGGCGCAATTATTCCCGTTTTCGGTCCTGGCTTCGCTCCCGCACTCCAGCCCTTCTACATCGTACTCCCGTTGCAGCGCCGGCCCATTTCCAATTGTGCGAGCACATGGGAGATCAGCGCCATGGCAAAGATGGGGGAAGTGGTGGGACGTCAGATGTGACGCTGGCGCACCGAGCTTGTCTTTCCCTCCTCCCCTCCTCCTCATCATCATCATCCTCTTCCTCATCCACATCCTCATCCTCTCCTCCTCCTTCTCCCCTCCTCCTCCTCTTCCTCCTCCTCCTCCTCCTTCTCCTCCTCCTCCTCCTTCTCCTCCTCCTCCTCCTCCCCCTCCTCCTCCCCCCCTCCTCTTCCTTCTCCTCCTCGTCCTCCTCCTCCTCCTCCTCCTCCTCCTCCTCCTCCTCCTCCTCCTCCTCCTTCCCACAGGGTCGCCCGAATGGCGTCGAGCAGCGACGCCTACGAGCTGCCCCAGCCCAGCAAGGATGGGCCCGGCCGGGGCGCGCGGGGGTCCCCCCCGGGCTGGGCCACCACGCGCGAGAGCCATCTCGTAGCGCAGTGTCGTGTCGGGCATGTCAGGAGGAAGATTCAAAAGTAGTCAGAACATAGTCTTGGGACGAGTGGCCGATTATTTTCGAGTGTTGTTTGGATATTTTTGAGCATCGGTTGAATATGTGTCCAGCATCCGCCTGTAAGAGGACATGCCCGACCTAAGACTAGTAGGGATCGGCCACGCGCGCAGGTGGGGGGAAAAGGGAGAGGGGGAGAGTTTCTCAGAGGCACTCCTGCTTCTCAGAAGGCGCGAGCTTTGTCTGCAGATGCAGGGCCGGCGCCTCCTCTCAGAAGCAGCCTCCCTCTGAGGAGGCGTCTCCCCTCCCCTTGCCCCCTTGTGCGCGCCGCGGAGGGAAGGGGGGGGGGGAAGGGACGGCCCTGGACATCCAGCATCTTGAAAAGGTAGGCCCGGACCTCCTCGCCCAAGCTATCAGACTACATGTTCCCGCAGAACTTGTGGACAAACCTTCGGAGAACACCTGGGCGGAAAAGGAGAGAAGAGGAGGAGAGGGAGAAACAATGAGGAGAAGAAGGCCTCTTGGGAGCTTCTTGGGACACTCTTGGGGCATCGTGCGGCTCGGAGGCCTCTGGGAGGGCTTACCTTGGCCTCTTGGGAGGCTTTCGGAGGCCCCTTGGAAGGCCCTTTGGCAGTCTGCGAGCGTTCCTGGTCCGTCTGTCGCTGTCGGAAGCCGTCTTGCGGGCCTCTCTGACCGATCTAGGGCTCTCTTGGGGCGCCGCTTTAGGGCCGTCTTGGACACCCTCTGGGGCTCCTTGCAGGTCTCCTGGGCCGTCTTGGGAGCCTCTTGGGCTGTCAGGGGGCCGTCCGGGAGGCCTCTTGAGCACTCCTGGGGCCACCTTGCTGGCCTCTGGGGCCGTCTTGGCCCGTCGGAGAACTGAAGACAAGCAAACACCACAATCTTTGAAAACTACCAGGGAAGCATTAATTGGAGGCTCCTTGGGACGTCTAAGAGGCCTCTTGGGCCGTCTTGGGGCCGTCTTAGACCGTGTTGGGGCGTGTTGGGTGATCTTGAAGCTGTCTTGTGCCATCTTCCCGGCATCTCGGCCCGTGTTGGAGACATCTTGGGACAGTTTTGGTGGCCGTCTTAGGCCGTCTTGGGGCGACTATTGCTTGCATGCTGGGTTCTTTATGTGTTCTTATGGGTGGCTGGCAGGTTCGGCCGAAGGCTTTCTAGAAGCTTGTAACAACAAACACAACAACAGCAACACCAACAATCATGTTAAGACCGTTCGCTCGTATCTGCTCGCGCGCCACTCAACACGCATACACCAAATCCTCAAGACCCGCTCTCTCCGTCACCGATCGTTCTCCTTGGGGGTCTGTCTTCCTTACTTGCAACGGGATTTGTCGTGCCGCCCCAAGGCAGGGGAAGAGAGGACGAATAGAATCGAGGCTTGACTCAAGGGGCAAGGGTGAGGGAGGAGGATGGGACACGAGAGAAAGCAGCAGGACGGGGGCTGGGAGCAGGAAGCACGTGGCAGAAGCGGACGGGCAGGTTGGGCGGGTGGACCCTGACTCAGGAGGAGAGAAAACACACAGACATAATTCATCGTCCACTCCCAGGAAAAGATGGGAAAATATGGGAAGTGGGGGGGAAGACAAACACCCAGAAGATATGGGAAAATATGAGGGATAGGTCTATTTGTGCGTATTTATTTGTGTGTCCCAGGGCCTCTTCACTAACAGGCGGGTCGGGAATGCGGTCCCAGGCGGCCAGGTCGAGCAGGCGGGTTGCTGAAGCGTGCGTCCGGCATGCATCGCGAGGAAGTGTCGAGCGACAGCGCGATCCCCACATAGAACGCCAGGAAATTCGCAGCGAGAGCGTGATTCCTGTGCGTCTAGGGCGCGGCGTCTGAGTTAATTGCGAGGAAGTCCCACGGGAGAGCTCGAGTTCTGCATACGTTGTGAGGAAGTTACTCGCGAGAGCGCGTTTTTGGACATATTTTGCGAGGAAGTGTCACTGGGAGCCGTTGTCGTTGTAAAACGGGTGCTCAGGGCCCAGTTTGGTGACACTTCGTTGTCCCGTGTCAAAAAAAAGACAGGTGCGAGCCCCTTGAGGAGCATATTGTTTTATACAGGCACAATTACTGGGGAGGGGGACCAACAGCACATATTTTGCAGAACTGAGAGCCCAGCAACACCATGATCAACAACAGCAGCAACAACAGCAACAATCACAGCAGCAACAACAGCAACAATCACAGCAGGAACAACAATGATATCAACAAAACCAACAACAGCAACTTACCGAACATCCAGCATGCCGTGCCCCCCTCGTGGCAGGCCACAGGGGGGCGGCGGATCGAAGACGCCTGCAGCGAATCTCCGCCACCCCTTTCCTTTGAGGATACGCTGTGGCCAGAACGCTTGGGCAAAGATTGGCCACGCTACTGGGCCATGCGTTCCCCCAGTCTTTGCGGGAGGAAGAGGGGGATGAGGCAAGCTAGGTGCGCTCGCGCCAGATTTGACACCCTTTCCCTGCATCCCATCCCTGTCCATTGCGTTGATTGTTTGTCCTTCCCCCACGAGTCACAGCCCAGCTGGAACTCCATAGAAGACCTCATCGTGCAATGCGCAGTCGGAAAAGCAACCCCTGTGGGACCTATGACCTCGGGACCTCTGTGGCCTGTGGGGCTTGTGAGACCGGCGACACCTGTGGGAACTGTGGACCGGCTAGACCTGCGAGACTTATCGGATCCGAATAACTGGCGGGACCTGCGGGACCTGGGGGGCATCTGACCCCTTTGAGACCTGCGAGACCTGTCGGATTTGTTGGAACTGTCGGGCATGCGAGACTTGCGACACACGTGAGTCCTGCGGAACCTGTCAGGCCAGATGGACCTGTGGAGCGATTTGGGACACTTGTGGCTCCTGTGGGATCAGTGGTGTGTGCGAGATTTGTTGTTCCAAAGAAGTGGCGCACGCTGAGGCAGGAACGCCATTCTGAACAGCTGGAGCACAGCACCGATCCGAGCATGAAGCCAACACTGCATCGAAAGCACCATCTGTCAACAGCCGTGAAGATCGGACGGCACACAAAAACGCACATTGTGGAAAACTAGTTCGCGCAAATCTAGCGCGTGAAAAACTACGTGTAAGGGGTCGAACTCAGCACATACGACGCAACAGCTCGTTCGCGACACGAAAAATGTACGCCAAAGGGGAGCGCGGCCACCCCCCGCACACGTTCGGGGAAGAGGCAGGAGAGTTGCATCCGGGCTCTGCAGTTGCAGCAGGGCGCCAGAGGAGGATGAACAGACCCTTCGGCAGCTCCTTGGGTCATTCTTGGGGCCCCTGGGGGGTTCCTCGGAGCCCCTTAGAGGCATCTTTTAGAGCCTCCGTGGGCCTCTTGCGGAGCTTTGTTGGCTTCTTGGTGAGGTCGTCGGGAGCCATTGAAGCCGTGATGTGAGCCTCTTTGGGCCGTCTCGGGGCCTTCTTGGGGCGCTTCCAGGTCGTCTTGAAGGCCATTTGGGGAGTCTTGGATGCCTCTTGGACCGTCTCGGGGCCCTTCGAGGGCCGTCTTGGGAGCCTCGTGGGCCGTCCTGGTGCCATCTTGGAGACCTATTGGGCGATCTTGGGGCATTATTGGGGGCCTCTTGGGCCATCGGAAGACACTTTTGTGAAGTAAACGGCATTTGCTTGAGCATCTTCGGGCCTTCCTCGAGGACCTCTTGCAGGCCTCTTGGGCCGTCTGAGGGGCCTCTTGGGCACCGTCTTGGGCTATACGGGGGCCATCTTAGGCCGTCTTGGGTGCATCACGGGCCGTCTTGAAGACATGTTGGCGCCGTCTTGGGCCTTCTTGGGGCCGTCTTGGCCGTCGTGGGAGCCATCTCGGCCATCTGGGTCTTGAGGCCATCTTGGGCGAAAAAGCTGACGCGAGGGGCGTCGTCCAGGGCTTTTCGGGTGGCCGGCGGCTTGGGCCGGCGCCCCAGGGAGAGTTCTCCGGAAGAGAGAGACAAAAACCCTGCCAGGCGTCCAGCACGCGCGCACCCCTGTGGCAAGACCACACGGGATGGTGGATCGAAGACGCCTACGGCGAATCACCGCCGCCCGCTGTCTTTTGGAAGCGCCCATGTCTTATGTGTCCGAAATATGTGGCCATGGCTCGGCCAAGTTATCGGACTATCTGCTCCCCCAGCGGATATGGAAGCCCTTCAGGGAACACGTGGGGAAGAAATATTCATAATAAGAAGAAACACACTGACAGGACGGATAATAAGCACACAGAGTAAGAATATTAATAAAAATGAGGCAACGAACAATAATGATAAGAGAAAGGGTTCGTACACGAAAACGACTGAGAACACATAACAAAACAACTACCAATCATAATCGGAGGCAAGACAAAAGATGAGAGGAGGCTTCTGGTAAGCCTTTTGGGACACCCTTGGGTCTTGGGGGCTCCTGGGAGCTTCCTGGGGGCCTCTTGGAGGCCTCGTGGAGACCTCATTGTGCCTCTTGGGGGCCTTTGGGGCTTCTCGGTGGCCTCTTTGGCCGTCGCAGGGCGTTCCTGGCACGTCTGACGCAGTCGGAAGCTGTGTTGGCCTCTCTGGGCCGTCTTCGGGCCTTCTCTGGGCTCTCCAGAGCCGCCTTGGAGGCCATCTTGGGCTTCTTGGCGACCTCTGGGGCAGTCTTGGAGCCATCTTGGGGCCGTCTTGGGGGCCACTTGGGCTTGTTATGGAGCCATCTTGGAGGCCTTTCAGGCGCTCTGGGGGGCGATCTTTGTTGCCTCTTTGGCCGTCGTAGGGCGTTCCTGGCACGTCTGACGCAGTCGGAAGCTGTTTGGGGGGGCCTCTTTGGGCAGTCTTTGGGCCTTTTCAGGGCGCTCCAGGGCCGTCTTTGAGGCCATCTTGGGCTTTTGGCGGCCTCTTGGGCAGTCTTGGGGCCATCTTGGGGCCGTCTTGGGGCCACTTGTTTTTCTTATGGGGCCATCTTGGAGGCCTTTCAGGCGCTCTGGGGGGCGATCTTGGGCGCCTCTTGGGCCGTCGTAGGCCGTGGGAAAGCCGAACAGAAGCAAATGCCACCATCCTTCAAGCACGTATGGAACATCCATGCTTTAGGTTTCGTTGGGCTCTCCCTCCTGGAGGACCTCTTGAAGGCCTTTTGAGCAGTCGTCAAGGCTTCTTGGGGGACTCCTGGTCCGTCGTGGGCCGTCTTCGAGGCTTCCTGGGCGGACCTGTGGGCATCTTGGGCCGTCTAGGATGCAATTTTGGACAATCTTGGACGGCCAGGGGGGCCGCTCATGGCCGTCTTGGTCTTGGAGGTCATCGTGTGGGCCATCTTGGGAGCAATCTGGAGCAGGACAATCCGTGGCAACCCCCTCTGGAGCAGATCTCCGGGTAGTCAGCGGCGTCGGCCGAGCCCCAGAGGGAGTTAGGTCTGCAAGAGCCAGCAGGTTTAAAGAGGCTTAGCACGCCAGGCGCCCCTGTGATAAATCAACAGGGGGCGGGGATCGAAGACCCACAGCGAATCGCCGCCCCCCCCCCGTTGCCTTCTGGAATCGCCCATGTGGCCGGACGTTGTGGCCAGAGCGCTGTCAGGCTATCCGACCACGTGTTCCCCCAGCCGTTGTGGAAACCTATCGGGGAACACTTGAGGGAAGATAAGGAGGAGGAGGAGGAGCCTCTCGGGCCGTCTGTTGGCTATATTTGGGGCCTCTTGGGCCGACATGGAGCGACGAGAGCCCGACAAGGCGAGAGCCTTCAAATCCTTCAACACCCTATTGCGCTATCAATGACGTTTGCATGTTGGGGTCCTCTTGGGAGACCTCTTGGAGACTTCTTGGGGCGTCTTGGAGACCTCTTGGGCCGTCTGTGGGCCATTTTGGACGTCTTGGAGAGCAATTTGGGCGTCTCAGGGCCATCGTGGTCCGTCTTGGGGGCCTCTTGGGGCCCTCTTGGCCTGGCAAAGATGCTTTCAGGCTTCTGGGAAGTCACGTGGGGAAGCCCAGGAGCGCGCAGGACCGCCTGGAACATTTCTGATGTAGGACTCCTTGCCCACTATTATATTTGCTGTTTTTAACGGATACTGAACGAAGAGAACTCCACACGCGTGGGGAGCACTCCACCTCGTGCCTCGAGGTACGGTGGCGGATGTGAAAACATACGCTCTGTTGTGTGGTCTGATGTGGTCGAAGGGGGTGCATGCATGGATTAGGATGCGGGTCCTGGGATGGTTCGAAAGACTGGTCTACTCTGGCATAATCACCCGGGCTCAATCTACGTTGATTCATTCGATGGTTTCTCAATTGGGTCTCGTAGTCCTCATTCGTTTTCACGAAACCTCCGAGACGCTGCCTCCTAACATGGTGGTCGAAATGAAAGAGAAGCGATTGAGTGTGCGCATGACGATCTTCCATGAGCATTCCGTTCCTCCTATGTCCCGGCCCCATCCGAATTGCTTCCCATTCCCATCCTCTCTCTCTTCCGCGCTACCAACGCCGTGCGCATTGATCACTCGCAGGTTTTTGCTGTACGGCTTGTTGTGAGGATGTGCCAGTTACGGGGAAACTGCTGGCTTCTGGTAGCCATTCATCTACGCAATATGCCCCGCAGTATCCAGTAGTTCTCCGAAGACCGCCTCACTCCTAAAGATGGGACGCTTTACACCCAGAGAGAGCTTGGACATTGTTACCCTTGTTTCCTACCTCCTCTGCTCTCCGCCCCTCCTCCATCACTGTCCGTCGCTGCCCTCCTCTTCCTCCTATGGATGTCGCCCTCAACTTTCTCCTCCCTTCGTATCCGTTTCAGCTCAAGGCGTGGCTCGGAATTGCAGTCTCTCACTTCTGCCCTGTCATTTAATCCATTGGAAGGGGCCATGAAGCTCAACATTGCGAACCCCACGACGGGGATGCAGAAGCTTATCGAGGTTGACGATGACAAGAAGCTGCTGCCCTTCTTCGACAAGCGTATGTCCGTCGAGGTGGCGGGTGACTCCCTCGGCGACGAGTTCAAGGGCTACGTCTTCAAGATCTCTGGTGGCAACGACAAGCAGGGCTTCCCGATGAAGCAGGGCATCCTCTGCAACCACCGCGTGCGCCTCCTGTTCAAGAAGGGTATGTCCTGCTACCGCGAGCGCCGCGCGGGCTGCCGAAAGCGCAAGTCCGTCCGCGGCTGCGTGGTGGGACCCGACCTGGCCGTCCTGGCCCTCACGCTGGTGAAGAAGGGCGCTGAGGAGATCCCGGGGCTCACCGACGACCAGAAGCCGCGCAGGCTGGGGCCCAAGCGCGCGGCCAACATCCGCAAGCTGTTCAACCTGGAGAAGAAGGACAACGTGTGCAGCTTCGTCGTGCGCCGTGCGATCGAACGTGGCGAGGGCAAGAAGCCCAAGTCGAAGGCCCCCCGCATCCAGCGGCTGGTCACGCCCGCGATGCTGCAGAGGAAGCGCTACTTCAAGGCCGCCACCCGCAAGAGGATGGAGGCGGGCAAGGAGCTGAAGCAGCAGTACGCTAAGCGCCTCTCGGAGTACCAGAAGGAGAAGAAGGAGGCGCGCGCCGCCGAGGTCGCGAAGAAGAAGAAGGCCTGAGCGCCCGTGTGGCACGCTCACCCCCCTCGTCTCCCTCCCCGTCTCTTCTCCTTGGCATCGCTCGGACGTGTGCATTTTTCCTTCAGCGAGGGCCATCGAGGAGCATCCTTGATCATTTGGCGAAAAAGCCACGCACGATACCGAAAAAAGTACAGGGAATGGACGTCCGAGCGATGGCGAGTCTCTCGGCCGCGCACCCGGGGGGGCACTGGAGGGGCGGGCCTCGTCGGAAAGCTCAGAGGGCCAGGGAATCTGTCGATGCCTTCTCCCCGAAGCACGGGCGGCTTCTCAGAAGGCTGGGGGGGGGGTCTTCCGAGAGGCTCCGCGGCCTCCTCAGAGCAGGCCTGCCCCCAGCTTGCTTGCCCCCGCGGCCTGCCGCCGGTTCTCCTCCGCCGTCCGCTCTGGCTTTTTCAGGCTTCCCTTCTCCCCGTTCCCTCCGGAGACAAATCCGCGCTGGACCTCCCTCCCTGGTTCGCGGATCGTACTCGGGGCGGCGGCAGAACTGCCCCCAAGGGGGGCCCTGCCGCCGACACAACAAATCATCCGCCCCGAGCTTGTCCGGGATGTACGATTTTTGCAATTCAAGGCCATTAATCTTCTTTTCCCCCCTCCCCCATCCTGCTCGGCTGTTTCAGCGTAGCAGCCTCAAGGTTCAGAATGAGTCAGCGCTGAGACTGCTTTAACAGGTGAAGTCGTGAGCCCGCGTAAGACGCTGACGGCAGCAGTGCGCGAGAGATCTACAATCAAGATGCAGCGGCATGAAAGTTTGGCTCTATATGTCCTCCTGCCCGCCAATCGCTAGGTCAACTACAAAGGCTTTCGAGTCCAATGAGGGGCAGACGGTGTAACCGCATGTCGGTGTAACGCATATATATATATATGTACACGATTAGGCGAAGTGCATGATCTCTGCCAAACTTCGCATCGTAGCTTTGACATTCATGTCATGAATAGCACCATGCGTAATCGTTTGTATCAGTTTTGTGAGGATGCCTCAATCGAAACGCCCATGTTCGAAGATCCGCCGAGTTTGCGAGCATCAGCTGTTCGAGGCTGTCTCTAGCAAAGTGCTTGTTTGGGAAAAACCACTGTCGCGAAAAGAAAGGGTCTGCTCCTCCTCCCTCTCCTCCTTTTCCTGCTCTTCCTGCTCTTCCTGCTCCTGCTCCTCTCCTTCTCTCTTCCTTCTCATTCTCTTCTTCTCCTCCTTCTCTTCTCGACTGTGTCTCCAGGTCCCCCTTCCTTCCTCCGTCCCCGGCCCGATGCTTGTTTATCCCAGGTTTTTGATATCTCAGATGAACAACCACCATGAGTAGTCCTTCGCGACGAGTTGACAACCATCACGAACCGTTGCGCACTGCGAGTCTAATTCGGTAGGTCAGAAACTGTCTGCAATTTTCTGGAAATCCGCCTTCTCTCCTCTCTCATCCAGGGAAGCCCCCCGAAAAGTTCGAATGTACCACTTCACCATGGTATTTCACAGGGCTTATGCTTATCCAACATCTCCATTGAGGCGCCCCGACAGGGACCAATACATATATATATATATATATACACATACATACATACTTTTGTCTGTCATAGGACTTGTGCGATTCCCACATCCCCAGGGACTTCCCCCAGAATGATCATGGAGGCTCCACCATGGAGACGATTGAAGACCGACCCAGACATCCTAACATCGATAACTCCAGGGCATTGATGATCTATTTATACATATACATATATATACAAGACTGCAGTGGCGCTTCGCGCCATGCACCTTGGTCCTTGAAGTTTGGTATGCAGGCGGAATGGCAGGAAGGTCAAGCCGACAATTTAGCGATAACTCCTGGTTGCCTTTTCCCGCATCGCCGCTATAATGATGTTTTTCGTTATCCTTTCTCCATGTTTATTGTTCCTTTTTTTCGCCATACACTGCGCATTCTCCCCATCCTCCTCAGCTCTTTTTTTGCGGAGGCTCCTCCTTGGAGAGCCTCTAGGGGGCTCTCAAAAGTTATTTCGGGTTTTCTTAAGGCCTTCTGGAAGCCTCCTGGGCGCATTCTGGGTGCCTCCGGGGGCTTCCTCGGGCCACCCTGCCTCCAACCGCCGTCTCCCTGAACGACCGGATCACGATTTGGAATTCTTCGGAGGGTGTCTTTGGGCCATATTGGGCCGCCATGGGGCTCTCTGAGGGCCATCTTGGACCGTGTTGTGCCGTTTTGGGGCTCTCTTGGGCTGCCTGGAAGCCCTTTCGGATGGTTGTGGGGCGATTTGGGAGCCTCCCAGGCGGCTTCGGACGCCCAGAAGACCGCCGTCTTGGAGCGTCGGGAAGCCGAAAAGAGGAGAACCCCAAAATTCACCAAAACGCGAAGACAATCAATTATTTTTGCCTCTTGGGAGTGCTCTTGGAGGCCTCTTTGGGGCCGTCCTGGAGGCCTCTTGGGCCATCTTGAGGTCACGTCTGTCACTCTTGGAGCGCTCTTGTGCTGTCTTGGGGGTCTCTGGGACTCTGGGACATCTCTGATGACCCCCTGATCGCCCTAAGTGTGCTGGGAAGGCTTGGCAAAACGCCTTGCGAGGCCCGGTGGCCGCTTCGAGGCCCGTCCGGAAGTCCCCAAAGCCCCAAATCCCAAAAATCCGGTTTTGGGGGGGGGATGGGTTTTCCCCCCGCCCGGGCTTATAAAAATATAGGAAGAGGAATTTCCCTGGGGGGCAGGCCCGGGGCACACAAACAGTTGCACCGACCCCCCATGGGGGGACGGGGCGGCCGGGGAGGTCCAAAATTGTCCAGGAGGGCCTCCAGAGGCTCCCCAGACGGCCCAAGCAGGCCCCGAGTCGCCGAAATACCGTTCCTGGACATTCGAAATAGGCCCAAGACGACCCGAGAAACCCCCCCAAGGCACTCCACGACGCTTCAAGACGCCTCTCCCGAGCGCTTCAAGAGACCAAAATCGTCAATTTAACAAGGGTTTTGGAGAGATGTCGGTATTCCAGGCTTTTCGGCTGTCCGACGTTCCAGGCCGGCTCCATAGGCCCCAATAGCGCCCCAAGACGGCCCAAGAGGGCCCCCAGACGGCCCCAGAGGCGCCCCAGAGAGCCCCAAGACGGCCCCAAGATGCGCCCAAGAGGGGGACCACGACTCCTAAATTCGACCCTCCCATTTGAAGAGTGCCCTAGGAGGCCCCAAGGAGCCCCCAGAGGCCCCAGGAGGCCCCCCGAGAGGCACCCAGGAGACCCAAACAAGGCCTCAAGAGGCGACAAAACAGCCCCGAGGAGGTCCCACAACGGTCTCAACACGGCTACCGAGAAGCTGCGAAACTGTCTTCACGACGTCCCCGACAGGCCAACCACGAGATCCAAACCAACACTCATGAGGCCTCTGACCCACCACCTAGGGCACCCGCCCCCTCCCGCCGTCCGCGTAGCACGCACCACTCTGTACTCAACAGCTTCAGTCTCCAAGACAACACCCTGTAGTCAACAGCCCCCGTCTTCAAGGCAACACCCTGTACTCAACAAGCTCCCCCTGCAAGAGAGCACCATCAAGGAATTCATTCAAATCCCGACCCGCCCGCCCGCCCGCCACCCGCCCGCCCGCCGCCCGCCCGGCCGCTCGCCCGCCTTCCGCGTAGCACGCGCCACCCTGCACTCAACAGCCTCCGCCTCCCAGACAACACCTAGCATTCAACAGCGCTCAGGGCTCCCGGGACTGCCCGGGCCCGCTCCCAAACACGCCACGACACGCCAAGAGGGCCCTAAAGATTGCCAAGACAGTCCCAAGCGGCCCCGGACACGCCGAAGATGGCCTCAGGACGGCCGACGAACGCCGCCAAAACGTCCCAAGAACGCCCGCATGTTTGCGCTCTCGCATGTTTCGCCTCCCCACGGTCCCGGACGGCGTCAGAGGCCCTTCAGATCGCTCCAAGACGGCCGAAGAGGCTCCCAAGGAAAGACCAGAGATGGCCCAGGAGGCTCCCCAGATAATTCAAGAGGGCCTCGAGAGCGCCCCACGAGAGCCTCAAGAGCGACCCAAGAGGGCCCGAAGAGCGCGACATTTCAAGGTCTCCGGCCTGAGAGGCTCCTAGGATGCCCCGAGAGGCCATCAGGAGGCGCCCAAGAAGCCCCGTGAGGCTCCCAAGAGGCCCCCGGGAAGCCCCAATTCGCCCCTAAGGGCCCCCCAGGGAAGCCCCCTGTGGGCCCCAAATAGACTTCGGTAAATCGTATTTCTCAGAGCTTTCCGGGAACATGATTCCTTGGACTTCCGCCCACCGCCCCAACCATGTTTCCAATAGGCTTGCCAACAAGGCCAAAAAGGGCCCCTCGGTAAGCCCCGAGAGCCCCCACTCTTAAGAGAGCCGAACAAATCATGCTCTCGGAAAGCTTCCCGGGAACATGATTCTCGGGTTGCCGCCCTCTCCCCAAACCATGTTTATAAACGCCTGCCAGAATCAACAACCGAGAGTCCCAAGCAGCGCTACCTGCCGCTACGCTCGGAAACGCGTCAGGCCCCGAAGCCTCCGGAGGTGTCCAACGACACCCCAACAAATCATGTTCCCAGGAAGCCTTACGGCCAGTGCCGCCGACGTTGAAGGAGGACGGTCCAGGACACCCAGAAATCTTCCAAACAGGCTTCCAAGAGGGCGCCGAGACAGCTCAGGGCCGCCCCCAGACGGCCCAAGAAAGCCCCAACACAGACGAAAAGGGCAGCAAGAGGCCTCCAAGAGGCCCCGAAACGAGGACATATCGTTCGAACACGCCCAAGATGGCCTCCAGACTGCCCACAAGGCTTTCAGCACGGCCCACAGGGACGCTAAAATCATTGCTTGTCCTTAGGTTTTTGATTGATTTCGGACACCCAATGTCGCCCCAACAGGCCCCCACAAGGGCGCCGAGACGGCCCAGGGACGCCCTGCCGCGGGCACGAGGCGGGGCCCGGGACGGGGCCCTCGCACCGGGGGGCCCGGGGGCCCTGCCGTGGCGCTGGGGTCTTTGTAAAGTCGCCCGAAGACGGCCCTGCCGTATCCAGACAACGAAAACGACAAATGACCGCCCGAGATCACCCCAGAATTGGTCCCTGACTGTCCGAGAGGCCTCCAAGACGCCCCAAGAGGTCTCCAAGATGGCTCCCAAGGAGCCCCAGGAGGCACAACTAATTTGTTTTCTTTT